TCAACATGATTTTCTTGGCAAGATTTATTCACAGAGGGCTTGCCATAACTTCCCTCTAAGGCTGAGAGAGTGTGGCCTGCCCAAGGTCACCCAATGGGTTCCCTCAGCTGACTGGTGATTCGAACCCTGGTCTCCCAGCCTCCTAGTCCAGTCCTCAAACTGCTACCCTAGGCTGGTTCAAAATACATCTTACTAAAAATCAAAATATATTTCCTGGAACTTTTCTTCCCTCTAACCTAGGATCTAATAACATTTTTCAATATACAGTAATTGCACACTGTCATTGAGATCCAGGAAAAAGCAGACTGAAATCTGTTTGGGTTTATTGCTAAAATGAATAAAATAATTCCCCATCATTCTTTTGGCTTCCGTCTGCCGCTAGGAGGAATGACCATACAGGGTAACAAAAGTGGAAGCAAAAAAATAATAATCACGTTTTCTGTTTGTTTGTTTTTTCATTTTATTTTGAATCACATCTCATTGCCCACACACACCCTTCCCAAGGGCTTGTGGTACATTAAAACAGTGTCAAAAGTGAAAAGCAGAAAACTGACTCTACACACAGTAAGTTCTCCAAAGGAAAAATAGATATCATTTAAACTTAAATGAATACCACCTCCTAACATCAATCATCAGCTTCCCCCTTAAATGTGTGCCACCTATACCCATCTCATAGAAGTATACTTTCCAAGTGCTTTTGGAAAATATTCTGAGACCAGCTAACTTGAAGGATCGCATTTAGCAAGAGTCATCTTCATTTGCAAAGACGCGTTAATCAATACAGTGGTAGAATTCAAAGATATAGCCGTGTTAGAATGTAGAATAACTATATAAAAAGAAAAGTTGGCAGCATGAGCTTTCGTAGACTTCAGTCCACTTCCTCAGTTGCTTTCTTCAGATGCTCCGTCAAATGCATCTGAAGAAGTAGAATGAAGTCCACATAATAATAATAATAATAATAATAATAATAATAATAATAATAATAATAATAATAATAATTTTTATTTATATCCCGCCCCTCTGCAGAGCAATCGGGGCGGCTTACAACATTACAATTTCCATGAAAGAAAACATAAAATCCCGAATCCCACCCATCCTTTAAGAAGTAAGGGTTCTTCTTATTCTAGGCTGGGTGGTTCTTTCTTTTAGTCTCAAAGGTGCTACAAGATTTCTCTACATAATTAACATAGTTGATGTTCTGTGTTTTAATTAGCTTGCAAAGTGTGTATTTTAATCTAACAAGCTCAATCTGGAAAAACATATAAGTGGAAACTAAACTGTAATTGTGAGAGCCAGCATGGTATAGTGGTTTGAGCATTTGACTACAACTCTGGAAGCCAAGATTTCAATCCATGTTCAGCCATGGAAACCCACTAGGTGACCTTTGGCAGGTCACACTCTCTCATCCTCGGAGGAAGGCAAAACAAACTTAACAAACCTTGCCAAGAAAACTCCATGACAATCGTCTTAGGATCACCATAACTCAGAAAAGAGTGGAAGGCACACAATAACAAACTGCAGTTATGGAAGCAATTATTCAGAACGAAGAAGGCGTGATTTTAGCATTGGAAGATGTTGATCTTGCTGTTTAGGGAAGGAGTGGAGTCAGTGGACAATCAGCAGGTTTATGGCCGTCACCCATCCTCCTGGATGACTTTTCCAAGTTGAAAATGTTGTTGTTGGGTGCCTTCAAGTTGTTTCCGATTTACGGCACCCTTGTCACAGGGGGGTTCTTGGCAAATTTCTTCAGAGGAGGTTTGCCATTGCCATCCTCTGAGGCTGAGAGAGTGTGACTTGCCCAGGGTCACCCAATGGGTTTCATGGCCGAGCGGGGATGCATTCATATGTTCCTAAATGGATGCCAGGCTCAGACTGACATGGTCCTTGTACTAAATCCAAGTGCTAATCCTAAATAGACTGGATCTGTTCAGTTGCTGAACAGTAAGTCAGTATTTCTACAAATTCCATAAATTCAGTGGATGTGTTGCAATTGGATTTAGCTCCTTGCCTTACCAGACAAAAATCAAACCATTGAAAGTTTGAATGAATGCGCTCAGAATGCATGAAATTTCTTGTTTCATCTCCACCAAGATACCCAAATGAAAGGAGAGATATCACATATTCCACACACAGAACAGGGTTCATTATGTTCAGCAACATGCCTTTTCTCTCTTCCATTAAAGCAAATCATTCTCTTTTATCTCAGTTCCTAATGAAGACCTGCTCCCTCTCACCATTTAATTATTAAAGGCACTGACTACTAAAGAGAGATTCTGTCAGATTTTTGGCTGAATGGGTAAAAGAGGAGGAAAGATACCATTAGCATTTTTCAACCAAGAGTCAAACTAGAAGGGCAGACATTACAAGAGCTGCAAGCTGCTATTACTTGAATATGTTTTATTTCATCAAAATGTTTGGTTTATATTATTGAAATATTTTTAAACAAATCAGCTGCCCAGTAGCAAAAGTTCTCTGGGAGGTCAACAAGGCAAAAGTGTTCTTGAATTTACATGGCTTTCCGTCAGCATAAAAATAATATTTAAAATATTTTGAGAACTATAAAATGTAAAACTACAGAATTTAATGTGGTTTGAGTGTTGGACTATGACTCCAGAGACCAGGGTTCAAATCCTAGCTTGGTCGTTTAAAATCCACTGGGTTACTTTGGGCAAGTCACACCTTCTCAGCCTCAGAGGATGGTAATGGTACCCCCCCTTGAAGAAACTTGCCAAGAAAACCCCATGATAGGTTCACCTGAGGGTTGCCAGAAGTTGGAAATGACTTGAAGGCACACAGTGACAACAAATATACTCAACTATAACTCAATCTTGTGTATAAATTGAGAGCAAGTTTTAGGGCCAAAATTATAGATTTTGATAGGACCCATGGATGTTGAAGGTAAAGGATGTAAAAGACGAAAACCCTTCTACCCTTTTTTAATGTCTATCCAGGAAAAGAGAAGCCTTCTTTTGCATCTTTTTCCTTTGTTTTGCCCTTTATATCCTTTGTTACAAGCCCCTAAGTTTTACCCTCAACTCATACATGAATTATAACAAAATCTATAATTTTGGTCTCAAAACCTCCCCTCGACTTATACAAGAGGTTGACTTGCAGTTGAGTATATACGGTACATTAACACAATTAATTAATTAAGAAGACGACAATTATACAGTCAAAAGAAACTGGAAATCAACAAATGAAAATATTGGAGTCGTGATTGACTTGAATGAGTTAAATTTTAATAAAACAACCACAAAGCTATTGTATTAATAAATAAGGTGACTTACCTCTTCCAAATTAGGGACAAAGGATACAGTTGCATTAATTTTTGAAAAGTCCCATTTCTCATCACCCCACTGAAAATACCCACTTTCTTTTCCTCCCTACCTTATAAACTCAAACTTTAACTCCCATCACCACCACTTACTGGTTCCCATTTGGATTCCAGCAAAAGTCCAGGGCTTAATAACTTAACTCATTTTCCTATTCAGGGGTTATTCAGACAACATTAGCAAAAACTATGCAAATAATCTTACTCACGCATTTGTTGTTCACACTATGGAACCGCATCTATGCGCATCTATGCGAGTTTTGTTGCTCACACATGTCAGGACTTGAATAAAGAGAGAGTGGTCAAGATGGCAAAAATTATTAATGAGGGAGAAAACATACAACCTTAGGAGAGGCTGCAGCAGTTTGCTTTTGTCTGAGCCCTACTGGGAAGGGCAAGATGTATTTATTTATTGACATTATATCCCAGTATTCTTCCAAGATGGGATTGAAGGTGGAAAGATTCCTTTCCCCTTCTCCCCACCCCAAGTTAATAAGTATAAACTAGTTTTGCACTTTGAAATAGTGCCAGGGCTCACCCTCCACTCTGCTCTGCATCCACATTCTGACTACAAGCAAGTAGGCTAGATGAAATGTTCCTTATCCCATTTCCCTAAATAAATGGGAGAATCGCTTCATTTCCCCTTGATATGGGAAAAGCCCCGTTAGCTAGGAATTTTGCCTTAATTCCCAAACAGGAAAGTTCTCTTCCTTGCTGTGTGTGTTTAAGCAACAAATAATGAGCAACTGTGGTTGACGCTTAATGCATGAGACTTAATGATATCACCAAGGGCTGTCCCTAGGTCTCAGGTTCAGGCTTAGTAACCTCAAAACCTGAGATGATCCCGAATGGCCAAGCGAAATAGGGGCTGTCTCAACCCCGACAATTTATTACAGTGTGGAATATGGGACAGTTCAGGTTAGTTCTCCAACCTGGGGTAATTAATATGGCCGGAGTAATGTCAATTTTGATTTTTTTTAAAAATTCCAATTTTGTAGCATCATACAGTGCCCAGATAAAATTCGGTGTTTCTTTTTTTCCATTCAGATTTGAAACACCTCCACAGTTCAAAGAACTCACAGAAATATTCATATTCTGCTAACAACTTTGAGCCTTTGCATTTTAAGAAAAAGCTTAGCAATTTGGCCTGCAAATCTGAAATGGCAGGTTGAGATCAAAAGTCAGACTTGGTAAACTGAGGGGGGTTGAAGACTGCCAGAAATAGTGCAAATTGAGTCCACTTTTAGGGTCAGGGTAAGGGTTAGGGAATCATGGGAACTGTAGTTTATTGTGGCACCAGAGCTCTCTGACAGAGAAGACTAAATGTCTCAGAAAAAAAAATTTCCCATGACTCCCTAGCACTAAGCTTAACCCTAAAAGTGGACTCAATTTGCACTATTTCTGGCAGT